GAAGATTGAAGTTTTTCATTCTTTTGAAAATTATTAAAGCTATAGTCCTAAAATCACCGTAACTTGCCAACTAAACGTCAAATTGTAATTTTCTAAAAATTGAGAACATAGAAAAGGAGCCAACTTTATATTATGCTACGAACTTATCGAATGATTCGAATGATTCATTACAATTAACTATTTCCAAAAAAAACAAAAAAAGCATTCCTATTAATATCCGGTTAACTTCTAATAAAAGCAAGCAATATTGCTATATACAGGCAATATATGGTGCTTGTATAAGAAGTACAAGAAGTGGTTGTGTTAACAGAACTCACAGTTAAGAGAGACATGTATCTTTTGAAATCAATTATAAATTTATACATGCATTCTGTAAAAACAATCCAGAATAATTACTTAAACACAAAAGACCATCAATTAAAATAAGTTTTATGGCTTTCAGAGTAAGCTGTATGGAGTTCAATATATCTCAGCTTGACCTAATCCCACATACATTTTCGTAGACTAATTGAAAGAAGTTGAAGTATGACGTTTATGTTCTTCAACAAATTAGAAATTAGAAGAATAACCGGAATTGACTCAAAATGAAACTGTTTAGAAAGGTAGTTAGATGAATAAGTCAGATCAGGTGAGTATGGTCAACTTTTGCATAATGGTGAATTTGTGCCTTTACAGAACAACTCATATAAACATACTGGATAACAGATCACATTCGGATGTCATATGGCAGCACAGCACAGTGCTACTTCCTCACAGAAATAACAATGTGGGCGTATCTTTCACGTGTATTATATCAAATAATAAATTCTGGATAGTTCTTACTTTGAAGAATTGTATTTAATGAAACTGTTTACTAAGAAACTACTATGAGTCATCACTACTATGAGTTAATCCTAAGCATGTGAGGATATCTATCATTTTACACTTTTTGTCTTAATATATTAATAATTGTGTGTACATATGAAATACACTGGGGAAGATCTTCCGAAGGTTGCGATGAATTAATGTCAATTGCAGCAACAGAAAAACTTTTCCCTTTTCCATTTTGGCAGTTGACAACAATTTCGCTGTATGTTGCATGTCGATCAGAGCGCCACATGCCACTACTACACATAACAACAACAACAATAGCAACTTCAGTGTCAACATGAAAACGCAAGTTTGAATTGTGACAAGGTGGACGGCACCACCAACCATAAGACAACGTCCACTTTATGAGCGATTTTTTACTGCCACGGTCGAAAACGTGAAGTCGCACTGTGGCACTGACATTGGCATTGGGACGGTTTCGATTCTGAAGCTTTTGTGTCAAATCTATCTAAATGCGAGTACAAAAGGTTTTCTGCTAATACAATTGTTGTTATTATACATCAACGTGGGTTCACATCAGTATATCAGATGTGATCACCGCTTTGTAAGCCTCGCACTTTGAGTTCGTTTTGATGACTTTGTCATCAAATTCTTTTTTATTTTTATTTGCATTAAAATTCATTGAAGACTTAACTGCACAATTGTTGGGATTTCAATTGATTTTTAGCCAATTTAGGATTCGTTTTTATGTTGGAATATCGCGAATGTGACTTGCTATTGAAATATCGAAACTTAATGCTAAAGTCTGTCAACATAATATATGTACCCTAAATGTTTATGAACAAACATTCAATAAGAAAGTATTAAAGAAATCTATAAACTATTATACTTTCAACATGTCGTGTTTATTTTAGAAGATTACTATGAAAAAAAGAAGAGGGATTTTAGCGATGGATGGAAACTGCGATGAGAATGTAGACAAGACAAGTTGTTACTAAAAACCATACCAAAAACCAAATTAGCTTTGATAACTTCAATTAATTGTGATTTTACATAGCATTACATTAAAAGATCAAAATTCTCAAAATGATTTGATTGTATGCGTAGACGTACCCAGAAAGAGAGAGAGAGAGAGAGAGAGAGAGAAAGAAACAGAGAGATAAATAGAGAGAGAGATAGATATAAAGAGAAAGAAAGAAAGATAGATAGAGAGAGAAAGATAGATAGAGAGAGAGAGAGAGAGAGATAGAGAGAGATAGATAGAGATAGAGAGAGAGATAGATATAGAAAGAGTGAGAAAACATGGAAGACGGGTTGGGTTCATAATTATATATTTCTCTTTATTAAAACTGAAAAACCAACAGAATATATTATTCACATAAAATAAACAATGAAGCTTTTTCTACGTAATTACGATTTCTGGTCAAGTCGATTTGACAACGGATATTAATAGAAAAAAATGCCTAAAAAGTTAAATTTTTTCTTTATACAATATGCTGATATAGTTAACTTCTCGAGATATCTTGCTTTCAAGTAGGTTTAAGCTGTTTAGATTGATTACACTAAGATATACTCACGACTTCTAGCGCCAACTAGTATATGTTACTTTTACATTGATTACTCAGACATTGAGTAACAACAAGTGGAAAATGGAGTACTTGTTATTGGTGGTCTTCGTGTAAAAATTTTAAAGTATGAAATCCGATATATCAAAAATGAAGCAATATAGACAAATAGCACGACGAAAAAAATTACTTAAAACAGTTAGTAAATCCATTGACAAAAAGGAGTGCCTGGGAAATGGAAATCGTGTATTACAATATTAACATTCACTTAAAACAAAAAAAAAATTATCAAATTTAGCATAAGGTTTAGTTGCTGCTCAGGACTACTTGGACTTTTAAATGCCCATAACTTGCACATCGATCTATTATATTTAGTGAAAGATTAATAATATTCCTTTTTTTACGAAATATTACTGCGGAATTATTTTTAAAAAAGAGTTCACCATTCCATATGCTCATCTTAGTTATGTTAATGTCTATATAGCTAACCTTATATCATAAAAGTATATCATGATGTTTGTAAGACTTTTAGATTACGAATAAATTACAATAATACTTCAAAAGACATACAAAGTTGTGGTCAAAATTTAGATTAAGCGATTTTGGTAAAGGTAATACCCATCTAAGTAAATAGATCAAAGCAAATAGACCTGTACCTGGAAATGTGCTTCAAGAGGAGTTGTCAAATAGTTTCCAGAATTTAAAAAAAAGCTTTGATTAAAAAAATTAATATGCATGTGTATAAATGTAGTCTTTCGATTTATTTCGGTGGCTTCAGTCCCTTCTCCCTGGCTGAGTACTGTTACACATAGGTTTTTGGATTGTTGTCACATCAAATTATAATATCTTTAGTGACATGTCTTAATAGATACAAAGCACTCGTATGTTGGTCATATTTGAGAAAATATGTTGGAATGATAGTTTCTTATAACTTTGTTTTGGCAAAAATCTGAATGCTGAAATGCAGCACTATTACCACAGAAATTAATTAATTAATCTATTCTATAAACTCATAAAGACTATATGTTATTTGACGTTTGTATGTAGTCCCAATTAAATTTATTGATTTATAATCTTTATAAAATAAGAAAAACTAAAGAAAAGTTATTTCTGCAACATGTTCAATGAATGCAAATGTATTTAGCTTATAAATATATGTTGCAAAATATAATAGATTTATATATAAATGTGCATATAATAATCGTGCTTAGTTTTTTATATGTTATGCATATTATTAAAATTCAAAATTAGTATACAAAATAGAGACAACAGTTAAGTACGGCATTTAGACATAAGTTTTAAAATACAGGTCAAATTAATTTATTACTTGTTTAGTCCCACCTTCGATTTAGCAAAAAAATTTCCTAACATCCCGGAACCGGGTTCGCTTCTGATAGACCTCGGTGGTTTAAGATACATTTCACTTTTATGACTAAAAAATAAAATATTAAATAAATAAAAATTAACCAAATATTTCATAACTCACAACATGGCGTCGTTTAGCTGAAGCCATAATTCCTTTTGACGCATAACATTTTTGAGTTGAGGACAGTGAAGGTTTTTTCTTAGTGTTGTTAAAAACCAGGGTGGCATTCGGGTAAAGTTAAGTGTGTGCATCAACAATGGAATGTATATTTTTCGATCTGACCATTTGTGATTTAACCACCGTGCACTAACCATTAGCTTCTAGAAAATTTAAATATAAAAAAAAAATATAAAAATTTCTTATGAGAATATTGTATTTTTAACGCCAATAAAAATTACCAGTATTTCTGACCCGTCTTTCCGATTCTTTAAAAACTGTTCTAGCTCTTCAATTGAAAAATTTGCAGGTTGTTGCATAGACTCCAAGTTGTAGTAAGCCTCACATATGCGTTTTAATAGATACTCTTCGCTTTTGTGTAGTTGTCGAGCACAAGCCTTCAGGTAAACGCGATTACCTAGAATTTCAAGTCGGGATATACATTGGTCAACTAATTGTCGTATACGTAGGAAGTTAGTAGCACGCAGTAATTCCCAAATATCAACATGTTGCAACAATGGCTGTGTTGAGAGCATCCAATTGTAAATAGTTGCAAACACACCTGGCCTTACTGAACCCTCTGGTAAAAATACGGTTAACTTTGGTTCTGCTAATTCTTTAGCAAAGTATTCGGAAAATCTTGTCAATACTGAGCTACGACAATTAAAACTTATGCTATCTACAATTACCTCCACGTCATATTCTTCAGTTGGAGTTGATATACTCTGCAGGCTCAAAGGTCTATTAGGAGTGCGATTAACTTTAGTCTTCCGTAGATGTGTTGGTGGATTTCGTGCATATGTGTCTTGTAGGTTACGATGTTGATTAAACATTGACCTATGAGTTGTGACCGGTAAATTATCCAATGTTGGCTTTTCGTGGATACACTCTAAAGCACTATTGTCTTTAGGGCATTCTCGAGCCTGTTTGGAACGCAAACGCAAATATTGTATAATTTTGTTTTGAAAGTGTTTATTCAGAATTTGTGATGTACTCAAACTGTTTACTCGTTGTGATTTATGACCTCTTATATGCTTTCGGATTCTCTGTGGGTTTTTATGTGTAACTATATCACCTGCACTTAATCTTTTAAAGGAATATAGGTCTTTATCAAGTACTATTGGAGATTCCTGTCGCGGCACAACGTTTTCTACAGTTTTCTGGACAATTTTGTGTTTTTGTCGTACATCGTTATATTGTTTCTGACTTCTTCCTAATCTATTTCGTAATTGAGTCAATTTCAGGTGGCGGGTCACAAGCTCATCTGGATTTTGCTTCGGTTGATTTGCTTTCGGTTGATTTACTCTCGGTAGATTCGGTTTCGGTAAATTTACGTTCTGTTGATTTACATTGAAACGCTTTTTTCGCATTTTTTGCGTTTCTGTAAATTTGGAACGATATGACTGGGTGTGCTGTCGCAGTGAGTCAACCCATGCATCTCTTGGTCTTGTTAACTTCTGAATTGAATGATATTGTTGAATTTGTTGAAATGGTTCAAATGATTGAATTTGTTGAATTTGTTGAAATTCCTGATTATCTCTCAATGGCATTTCAACTACGGGTGTAAAAAAAAAGTTTTTAAATTTTTCCATTAGCAAATAATTTAAAATTGTAATTTTTATATAATTGTCTTAGTGATAGAAACTGAACAGAAATTTGAAAATTGCAAGTGTTGTACCTTGTTTTTTCAGTCGAGTAGTAGTATTAAATAGTATTTATTAAAATGTCAATAACGTATATCTTAATTATCAGGATGCTTTATTTATGGTCCGCTGAATGGGTAGTTCCTATATTGGTATGCTTGAATATGCACGAATAATCATGTGTGCTAACTCTCGGATGGAATAAATTAAAAAATTGTACAATCGTTTTCAGAACATCGATGATTTGAATCATTGAAGATGACTCTGGGTTTCTTAACACGTTCATCAATGACGAAAACGGGGAAGAAATTTATCAGATTGTGCTTGATAATAGATGAATTACCATTAGAGAGTTTTCTGATGAAGTAGAATTATATTTTGGTTCATGCGAAACCGTTTTTTTAGAAATGAAAAAGAGGCCGCAATATTTGTTAAACCAAAAAAATTCGTGTCCAAACACAATATACTTGTAATGCGACAACTACATTATTCTATACCCTATTTATTGCCTATACCCTACTTTATAGATATAATACCCTGCTCTGTTTTCTTTAAATATTTATATTCAAGGCTAAGGCTATATAAAATGAAATGCTGAGTGGTAGCCACTTGCAAGGAGATTGAATAAATATTGAAGATCAACTAAGTGTTTTTCCAAAAATACAAGATTTTTATTACTTCCTGATCATACTAGATACGAGGTATATTTTAATATTGTATTTTAATTGCAATAATGGGTATTACAATAGCATACACAACTTGCTAAGTTGAATGATATAAAAGGGTAAGAATAAAATTAACAATCAAAACTTTGTCTTCAAAGTGCTAACTTATATAATTTGTTTGTATGCTTGATTGTTGAACTAATTACTTTTACTATAAGTTAACCTATATATATAAGCTTTCTTGTTAGAATTAAAATTCGTTCATAATTGTTTATCTTAATATCTTAATTTCATAGAATTGCATTAATTTTTTATATAAGATTGATTTTCAATACTGTACTTTGGGGATAGAAGATGACATAAGCTATCTCTACTGCATTCTTTAGCTTTATATACCTTTTGCAAGTTAACTTATATAAATAGGTTTATCTATAAGTTAATAATGAGTTAATGTATTTCATATGACTTCTTTGATTATGTCAAAAAGCATAAGTTACTCAACTATAATGACATTAATCAAAGGAATTTAAAACTTCAATTCTCTTTATGGCAACATTATAGAAATCCGTACGGATCATGGATGTTTAATGTCGTAAGCTAAGTTAAAACAGATGAAGAACAAAAGTCGATGATCCAAATCTATGCAAGTATAAAATAACAATAGCAAACTTTAATTAACAGTGAATGCACTACCAACTACTTTTATACATGATAGAATTAATAAATGGAGAAATATTTTTAGTGAAAAAATTAAAAACTTGATTTTGTTAAAAATTCATTAAGTTTAACTATTATTGTTGGCAAATACATAGAACAAGTCAACCTGATTACTACGAATGGTAAGAGTAATAGATGCTGATAAAGCTAATAATGTTGTGCGACCCCGAAAGTTAGGTAATAAGGAAAAAAGAGGTCAGCAAAATCGAAGTAGTTAATATAGGATGAATATTTAATCGTTAAAAACCATGGGTTGTATAAAATCGGGAATAAACAATTGAACATTCTATGAATACTCTTTTAACGATCCTAATAATAACCGGAACTTTACGCTATTTCTTGCATCCTAAACAAAACACATTAAAAAACGCTAAAGACAGAACTTGAAGCTATAACCGCGAAAAGAAGACCCCACAACCGCGATAGTGTAATATTATAAAAATACACAATAGAGATATGAAGCAACTACAAAAACGCCTAAAGATATAAACCGAAAAGTCAAAAAATCAGTTTAAATGGTAAAAATCGGCCTTAGGCCACTTCACGCTATTTAGGGGTTGTGAAGAAAAAACTTTAACTATATAATTACTTCAACTTTAAAAAGTTGAACGACAATAAGAAAAAAAGTCTGAAGTACTTACATTCATTTTGCCTTATGACCTGGTAGTTTTGGCTCCAATGCAACGCCATTCTAAAATATTAATTTTAATTTATTTATAAAAATATAACATATTTTGCAATATTTTTACCTTTAAATGTACTTAAACTGTTGACTATGGAAAATTTTGAATTTTGATATAATTTGTTGAACCTTCAACAACTACTAAAAAATAAGTAATGATGTCCGGAAATATTATTTTGT